ACTAATGTCCTAATTACCACCTTCAGAATAGTGATTATACTTCAATATTGAGGAATAAGAAAGGTATGGCGCTGGGTTTAGTAGTATACATAACATTTCCTGTATTTGAAAAGAGAAATTGAAGCACATATGCAAAATGTAAGCACCTGTTGAATCTGATTATTATATTACTTCATATTTGTTTCTGTTTGCCTGAAATATTCATAATTGAAAATAATTTTTAAATCTCAGTAGGCAGAAGGAAATGTTTTTAATAAATAGCATACAAGAATAATTTATTCCAAAAATAATTCTCAAGAAACTGATGTTGTACAAAGTCACAAGGATCTGAGAAGAGCAATTACCATTATGCTAAAATACTGCAAATAACATATGTGTATTAATTAGGGACTAGGCAGGAAAAAAAGAACTCACAACATGTATTGCAACAGAAAGAATTTAACTTAATTAACTGAACAGTTATAGTGGGAACCCTGAGGTAACATAAAGGAAGTAACCCATAAACAAGAATTACCACCCTGGAGTTGATGGAACAAAGTCACTTACTGATATTATCAGAACCTAGATATTCAGCAGAGGATCTCTACAGACATAGAACTCAGATTTTGGAGAGGGCATTGCATAGCTGATACATCAGCTGATGCTGATGTATCTGAAGTCACTAGAGCTCCCTACATCACCAGGAGAAAAGAACCCTTACTAGAATGAGGTTAAAGATCAGTTAGAGGTTATAGGTAAAGTTAGTAAAAGGAAGAAAAGAGGAAGAAGAAAGTCTTTACTCCTCTCCTGTTCCCAAGTGTCCTTCTACTGCCCTCTGAGACTTTAAGAGCACTCAGTTTGATCATAAAGGCATGGCTTCAAAGTCTTATTCAAAATGGTTTGGGAACTCCTTGGGGATTTCCATGGAGTCCATAGCATATAATTTGTAATATCTTCAATGGAGAAAATATTCTTTTTTTTTTTTTTTTTTTTTTTTTTTTTTTTTTTTTTTTTGAGACAGAGTCTGACTCTCTCACCTGGGCTAGAGTGCCCTGGCATCAGCCTAGCTCAGAGCAACCTCAAACTCCTGGGCTCAAGCGATCCTCCTGCTTCAGCCTCCCAAGTAGCTGGGACTACAGGCATGTGCCACCATGCCTGACTAATTTTTTCTATTTTTAGTTGCTTGGTTAATTTCTTTCTATTTTTAGTAGAGATGGGGTCTCGCTCTTGCTCAGGCTGGTGTCAAACTCCTGACCTTGAGTGATCCTCCTGCCTTGGCCTTCCAGAGTGCTAGGATTACAGGCATGAGCCACCGTGCCCAGCCAATGGAGAAAAGATTCTTTGAAGATTTTTTTTTATTTGAAGAATTTCCTTATCTGAAAAATCAACAGTGAAAATTCACAATCATTTTAGGTTAAAAAATGAAATGGTATAAACTACAGAATAATGTCCATATGTTCTCTTAAGAAAGATAAGTAAAAAATTTTTGCCACTGTAAACTCTTTCAAAGAAGAGTTGGAGATATAAATAAATCAAATACATTTATTACTAAATAAATACATTACAAAACTGTTTAAACATGGCCATATGCATACATACAATCTCTGTTTTTAGAATCAATTTATTTTTTGAAAGTTCTATAATATTAATTATAAGTGTTTAGAATAAAAAATAACAGAAAAAGCTGAGGTAAAAAAACAAACAAATAGGAAGTTTACAAAACATAGGAAGAATTTTAGGGGAATTGAATTGAATGCTAAAAATAGTCATAAGTTAAATCGAATTTAAAATGGAGCTATCAAAACAATACAGTACACATATTTATGAGCAAAAGAGAACATGTGATCATCTCCATAGATGCACAAAAGGCATTTAAAAAAATCAATTCCCACTAATGTTAAAAAAAACACCTATGTATCATGAGTTGACAGACACTTTCAAAAGTTGGGAGAATATTTATGTAGCTTAGCCAAAAGCCAACATATTTTTTAATTTAATAGGGAAATATGAGAGGCAATCCCATTAATGCAGGATATAGAGAAGAATGCTCACTATCTTCACTACTATTTAACATATTATTAGAGGTATTAGCCATGCAATCATAAAAAAGAAAGGAAGCAGAAGCTTAGATTAGAAAGGAGGAAATAAAAATCAACCTGAAAATTATATACACTATATTTGATATAATATTAATATATGGTATTTTTAAATATCTGAAAACCCAAAATAATTAAGGAAAAAATACTGTAAACAATAAAATAATTTCATAAGGTAAGAGCTTTTAAAACTTTTATATAATAATGAATAAACTTTATATATGCAAAATAAAAAATTTGAAAATATAATGAAACAGAACATGTCATGTATGATAGCAAAAGAAAATAAGATGCTTAGGCATAAGCTTAATAAATATCCTTATATTTCTGGTCAATTTATGGTCAGTTAAATCTTTTTTGTTTTTGTGAAGTACATCATAACATTCAAGATTGTTAATAAAGATACAAAGACAAGGCCGGGCGCGGTGGCTCACGCCTGTAATCCTAGCACTCTGGAGCCGAGGCGGGCGGATTGCTTGAGGTCAGGAGTTCGAACCAGCCTGAGCAAGAGCGAGACCCGTCTACTAAATAGGAAGAAATTAATTGGCCAAGTATACATACGGAAAAAATTAGCCGGGCATGGTAGCATATGCCTGTAGTCAGCTACTCGGGAGGCTGAGGCAGGAGGATTGCTTGAGCCAGGGGTTGAGGTTGCTGTGAGCTAGGCTGACGCCATGGCACTCACTCTAGCACGGGACAGAGTGAGACTCTGTCTCAAAAAAAAAAAAAAAAAAAGATACAAAGACAATTCAATGCAGAAAAAAAATCATCTTTTTGAGACATGGAGACATAAGTGCAGAGGCAACTTATAGATTGGGAGAAAATATCTGCAAACCATTTTTCTGATAAAAGGTTAATATCTAAAATATATAAATAACAAACAACTCAATAGCAACAGAATGAAAAGCACAATTTTAAAAATGGGCAAAGAATCTAAATAAACATTTCTCAGAAGAAAACATACAAATGCCAACAAGTATATGATAAAATGCTCAACATTGCTACTTATTAGGGAAATGTTCTTAGATTTGACACCAAAAGCATGGTCCCTAAAAGATAATACTGATAAATTGGACTCCAATCACACTTCAAAAGATGCTATAAAACCATGATGAGACACTACTTCACATTTAATAGAATAGCAAAAATTAAAAGGACTACAATAAGTATTGGCAAAGATGTAGAGAAATTGGAACCATCATACATTACTGTGGTATTGTGATATGATGGAGCTGCTTTGGGAAATAATTTAGCAATTCCTGAAAATGACAAACACAAAGATATCATATGACCCAGTAATTCCATTTCTAGGTATATAGCTAAAAGAAATGAAAATATAAGTCCACACAAAACCCTGTACACAAAATGTTCATAGCATCATTATTCATAAGAGCCAAAAAGTCAAATACAAATGTTTATAAACTAATGAATAAACAAAATCTGATATATCTTATAATGGAACATTACTCAGCCATGAAAAGGAATGAAGTATTGATTCATGATACGATTTCAATGAACCTTGAAAACATTATGCTAAGTGGAGCCCATTCTACTAACTGAAGTATCACAAGAATAGAAAAACAAGCACCACATGTACTGACCATCAAATTGGTACTAATTGATCATTAATTATGTGTATATATAGTAGTAACATTCATCGGGTGTCAGGCAGGTATGGGGAGAAAAGAGGATGGGTAAATTCACATCTATTGGGTACAATACACACTATCTGGGGGATGGGGCCAGTATAAAAGTAGTTTATGTAATCAAAATATCTGTACCCTTGCAATATTTGAAAAAGCAAGAAGGAAGGAAGGAAGGAAGGAAGGAAGGAAGGAAGGAAGGAAGGAAGGAAGAAGAAGGAAGAAGGATTAAAGAAAAATGCTCATGTAACTGACAAAATGGGTAATATACTCTGTTAAAATGAATATGAAAATACAGAATCCTCTCTGTCTGACATATGGTTTTATTTTGTCCTGACAATTGAGTTTTTTTTTAGATCATAATTTTAATAGCTATATTAGAAGTTCACCATAGAATTTATGCTGAACATATTTATTTACCAAATTGAATCTGTTATTATTTATTTAACATCATTTATTTAACATTATTTATTTAACAAATTGAATTTGGAGTTTAAAAATTTTTATTTACATTTCAAATTATTTGCTTTGAATAAATTCTTGAATATAGAATTATTTGGTTAAAAGATTCTTATAAAAATATCTTTGATCCACATTTCTAAATTATTCTCAAGTTTATACTAATTTACAATTCAAACAATAGAGTATGAATTGGCCATTTTCTCAACCCAGAAGAAGTTTCTTTAAAAAAATTATACAGTTTTTTTCTTAATATGCAGGGAATGAAAAGTAAAATGGGCAGTGATTACTTAGCTTATTCTGACATTTGAGTTTTAATTTACATTTTGCTACTATGTTTCTAAATTCTCCTTCCTATGTTGTAGTTTGCCACAATATCTTTTGAAAAAGAAAAAAATAATACAGGAATTGAGTAAATTTTTATTTTATTTTACTTGTGTATTACAATATGCCAAAATACTAGAACTAGGACCCCCAAAATCACCAGTCCATGCTCTCATTACTGAAGATACTATTGCTCTTCATAGTATACAAAACTGCAAGACATTGATTTACTTTCAAGAGAAATCAAGGAGAGATTATCAATGAGCTCTGGTTCACTCCCCTTATACATGGCACAAACAAAAGAACATTTCACTTTCAAAGAAAAGTTTTAAACACATACACACTATTACAGTCACTAAATCATTGATTTGATGATAGCACTGGAATGAAAGAGAGTAAAACAAAATTTACATGAACATACGATTTCCATAATCACACGACTACTCTAACACTGGTGGCTGTTTTTTCTAACAGCAGCAATGCCATGGCAATGATTGTCTTAAGGGGAAGAAAATCTGCCAAAGAAGAGGATGCTGTTGGACTCATTGTGCTTGATGAAGAACAGGAAGGGATGATCACAGTGAACATTTTCATCACCTGGGGCTGATGTGACATTGAAGCTGATACTGGTGGCAGCTGCAGCTTCTGTGCCTTCCTCAGTGACCATGATGAAGGAGCTGTGCAAGAATTTCTGGGCATGCAACCCAGAGCGTAGGGACATTCCTGAATAGTCGGCTTTGCGCTCACTGAAAGCATCTCCCGTCTCCATGGCTGCCAGGACTGCCTCAAGGTCATAATGATCCTCCACTTGGAACCGGGGCAGGTGTAAATTCACATTCCTTTCTTCCATATGCCCTGGACTGGTCCACTCTACTAACTGCTCAGGACTTATTTTATCTATAATCTATTTTTTTTTAAATGAGAGCAGAACGGAATGCTTATTAATAAAAATTCAAAACAGTGTAACACTGATTTGTGTCCATCAAATGTTACTAATTTTAGTAAGAAATAAAAGTAAACTTTTCACTAGACTCTTGTCTTTATATAGCAGGCAGTTGTCTTACATTTCTCTAGTTAAATTATCTGTGTATACGTGAAAATCCAATAATATTAAATGAATTTTTAAAGATTAAAAGTAAGTCATTTCTTATTGCATCAATGTAATACATATTATTTCATTTTTTACTATCCTCCTCTAGTCTATACATACATATATATATATTTACATAGTTGCAATCACAGTGAATGTCCACTTTGTTATAATATGAACTTTTTCACACAACTGCATCTCTCTTTTAAACATCTTTAAACTGCTAGATCATATTCCCATTAAGTTGATAATTTTTACCTAATATTCATCTATTCATTCACTTTACAAGCATGTGGTATGTATCAGGTATTATGATAGATGTTAATGGATACTGCAGATACAAAAATAAAAATCACTGTAAATTTCAAACTAGGTATCCTAATGTATTTGATACTGAAATTACTGATTTGACTCAAAGGGCAACTTTTTTTTCTCCTGAAATATTTCTTTATGGTAATTCCCACAACTGGGGTTTTTGAGTCAGAGTATAAATTCTCTTAAAGCTCCCATACATAGTGCCATTTTGCTGCCCCCAAATATGTTCTAATTTAAAGTTCTATTAGCAACGTTTCACAGCAATAGCACAGCATGTAATAGTATAATAATACAGCAGCTATTGTTTATTGAGTGCTAGATCCACTCTAGGCTACATTTCTCTAAGCATTATAACAACACTGCACGTTAAGCACCATGGAGCCCACTTTACAGAAGGAAAATATTGAAGTTCAAGAAAGTTAAGAAGCTTCAAAGATGAGAAAGCTGCTGGAGGAACAGGGTTTGAAACAAAGCCTTCCTAATTTTCAAAATATGAAACACTAGCTCCATAAATTGTTTAACTGAAAAATGGCTGGGACTAAATCAATGGGTTCAAGACTAAGGGTCTAAGAAATTCAAAAGGTCCAGGAATCAACTGAATCATATGCAAAATTGGCTGAATATGTGCATATGTGATTTTTTTTCTAGAAAGGAACCCATAGATACCAACCATTTCTCAGAATAGTAGGTCATCTTTAGAACTTCCATAAAATCTTAAATGTTCATTTTAGCTCATCCACAAATATTTTAGTATTGTTTGTTCTCAACAGACCAGATACATACTATTTAATTCTCCTTTTTGGACATCCACCTGTAGCTGCTACACGGAGTGAGAAACACTTTCTACTTGATGCTGCCACACACCAGCTCCCACTAAAAAGCCCTATTTCCAGGCTCACCCAGAGCAAGCTCTGGGATACAAAGCCTCAGAAAATGAAAGCAAGAATAGGGAGATGCAAGTGTTTACCTGCTCCAGACCATCTATGTCATTGGGAAGAAGCACAAACATGCTTAGGTCTTTGTTTTTATATGGAATCCCCACAATTTTGGCCTGCAAGTCCTCCAGGAAAGTGAAGCTAAAGGAATGGCTCTGGGTCATCATCCGCACGGATTTACTTGTAGTCTACAACAAATGAACAGAGCGCACAAGGTCAAAAGACAAGACCACAGACATAAGGCAACCAAGTGAACTCACCGAAATAATAGCTCGACCAAAAATGATGCTCAACATCAGAGCCTCAGAGCATTTGCTATCTACCAGTGTACGTTTGCCCAAATATGACTTTAGATTTTACATTCCATGTGTGACACATCACATAAATAAATTAAGGACTGTACCTTATTCATCCAAAATTCCTCCTCCTTGGTATTTTCTTTCTTAAACTCCCTATCCCATTGCCCTTTAAAATAAACTGTGTTCACCAGCACCAGCTTGGTAGAGCTGCTAAGAGAGCCATCTGGAAGCAGGTCCTTGATTTCTTCTGCAAACAAATGACAACAATAAAAAAAACTGGCCCATCTTCTCAATTTTAGTGATATGTGTGGCAGAATCAATGCACATGGACTTGACTGATCATTAAAAATACAGCCAGGTCAGCACCTGAAGGCCTTGCCAAAAAGGGTTTGCTGGCAGAATCAGTAGGGAGGTTCTCACTTTGCCCATTGCCTACTTATCCCACTGGATAAATGGAGGTTGATGGTTAAGAGTCCCGACTCTGGGGTTAGATGCCTCTGTCAGCATCCAGTTTTGCCTCTTATCAGCTGAGAATCTTGGGTAAGTTATGTAAGCTCTCTGTGCCTCAGTTTCTAAATCTGTAAAATAGGAAGAAAACATGCCTCATAGCATTATTGGAAGGAGTAAATGATTTAATATGTGAAAGCACTTAAGACACTATCTAGCACATATTAAGTACTCAATGTTAGCTATTACTATTCTTACCCATTAGATATAGTTACCACATGAGATTTAGAGACTATTTATTCTATTAAAAAAGAAGTTGATTTTTTGTCTCTGGGTTCAGCCCATCTCACACCAAATTCTAATAAATATCATTCAACCAACCTTTTGATAGACCCTTTTTTTCTGCTTCTTTTAATTTTCTTTCTTTGGACTAAGCATGAAGAAAAAAAATGCACTCGGAAATAACAGAGATCTCCCTGATAACCAGGATAAAAAATTCAGCTCTAAATAAAAACTCGAATAAAAACTTTAACACTAAAGTATCAGCTATTGCTCCTCCAAATATGTTTACACATGAACATTCCTCTTTGCTGTCTCTTACAAGCTTGTCTAATATTTGGGGTTGAGAAGGGAGAATGGGGTACAGAGTTTGTCAAATTCTCTGTTGTGGATGGGGCTGAAAGTTGTTATTATCCCTGCAGGATGCTCAGGTGGAGAAGGCCCAGGTGACCCCAGCTGCAGGTAGCACAGGCAGGTCTTGCTGGGAGAGTTGCATGTCTCTCATTTAGCAAAGAAAAGCCCTCTGATGTTTTCACTTTGGGACTCAGACTCAGAAAGAAAGTTTCTAGTATAAAGGAAAGAATGTAAACCCAAGACAGGCATGAGCCTCACTCTCTGGAGCCTCCAAGGTATTATGATCCATGGTCATATGCAAACAAATCTCCACAAGTGTTTCCACTTCCTGTGGTCCCCTCCCTGGCTCACCTGGGCCCTCTCCACACTTGCTGAGACCACTGCAACATCTGCAGTGCCCTCCCCCACCCTCTGCACCCAGCCCTGCCCTTCCAACCCTTCAAAAGCCATCTCAAGTCCCCTCCCAAAGCTTGTTCACCTGGCACCCCATGCGGTGTGAAGCCCAAGGATTTATTCCCAGCAGGTTGTCAAGAAAGTATTTTTATGATGAATGACCCACACATACACTACCATTTGTTTGGCTTTCAACCCAGGAATTAATCTTCTTTCGACTTTCATCTGCTGCATTTATAAAATCAACAGGTTCCAGAGATGCATGGTAATATTTTTCAACATAATCTAAGTATTTCTTTAGGAAAAACAAAGAAGGAATAGAAAGAGGTAGAAAAATCAATTTATTAATTCCAGACATTTCCAAATAAAGTTATCTGTACATTAGGATGACTCATGTCATAAAAGGGATTTTAAGGCCCTGGGCACATCCCTTTGAGTACCTCCATGCACATTTTAATGCAGGTAAAATGGAGTTAAGACAAGAGCCAAATTCAGATTGCCAGGATTAGAAAGAAGCTCCCTAAGGTTCCGAATGTCTGGCCCCGAAAACACAGCAGCGATGTAGGTGGAGCCAGACAGCCAGTGGCACATGTCCCCAAGACCACAGTCCCAGCAGGGCCACCTGGCCACTCACAAACACTGCTCACAGATGTGGTAGACCCTGCAAAACTTACTTGAAGGAAGAGGTATGTTTTTTCTCCAAACAGCCTGTTGCTTATGTTCAGTTCATAATCACTAGGGAGTTTGCTTATTTCGGTCAAAAACTTTTGGAATTGGTGATGTATCTCTTCTGTCTCCTCAATCTTCAAAATCAAAATAAAAACTCAATAGGTTATCTTGGCAAAAGCAAGCCTAGATTCAGCTGTAAGAGGAGGTGGCTGCTGTATCTCCCCCTTAGTTTGGCAGATTTGAGGGTGGTCCGTGCATTTAATGTGGCCCCTGTATAGCAGGTGGCTTTTACTCCAATCGTATTGTAATATAACTCATGACCAATCTCGGTTTTAGAGAGAAGCTTTCTCTGTCACCCCAGCACCAGAAGTCTTGCTTCTTTGAGGGTGCATTTTGGGTCTCAAATGTATTTGCCCACCAAATGTTTCATAAACTTGTGTTTAGCTCCGCAGAAGACTCTAACCACATGAGGATTCCCAAATAATTTTTACTCACTAAATCTTAAAAATTTCTGTTCTAGCAGTGGATAAGAAAAGCGAATCCTAATGGTATGAGTTAGCCATTTATCAGAGCTACACACTGGGTGGAGTGGGGAAACAAACTTTTCCAGACATTTCTGTAGGATGCATCAGTTTTCTGACTTAGGGCTGAGGAGTCTTCAGGGCAGTGCTGGCTGACCCAGCACACTTCCCTGGAACAGAGTGGAACACTGTCTCATTGCCTGTCGAACGATGTCTGAAAAACCTATTCCTGATCAAATATGAGAACAGAAAGGCAATCTTCCTCTAGAATATGAAGCCCATGGAGTTTTTTGTTATTTATTTTATTTCTTTATTATTGGTTCCCCAATGCCTAAAGTAGTATCTGACTCATAATAGATACTTGATTTTTGCGAATAAACAATGAAGTTTTGAATACATTCAAATTGAAAATGTAAAAGTATGCTGCTCTAACAAAATATATGAGGCTGAATTTGACCTTTGGCTACCTCCTTGCTACTACGAGCTTTTAAAGAGTTGGCAATCATTCTCTGGCTCTTAGGTTGCTCCAGTGTGGTATGAGCAGATCAAGGTAGTACTGGAGCCTTTGGGGATGAGTGGATTGATGCAAAGAGAAGGTATCTAGCCAGAGCAATTTTACAAGGAAAATAAATAAAAGGCATCCAAATTCAAAGGGAAAAAGTAAAATTATCTCTGTTCACAGATGACATGATCTTATATGTAGAAAGAAAAAAGATTACACATGAAAAACCTGTTAAAGCTAATCAATCATCTCAGCAAACTTGCAGAACATAGAATCTGCATACAAAAATTTGTTGTGTTTCTATGCACTATGACCAATACAAAAAAGAAATTAATAAAATAGTCCCATTTACTATAACATCAAAAAAGATAAAATACTTAGGAATAAATTTACTAGAAGGTGAAAGACTAGTACACTGAAAACTATAAAATGTCACTAAAAGAAATCAAAGAAAATAAAAATAAATGGGAAAAAAATCCATGTGCATGAGTTAGAAGACATAATATTGTTAAAATGTCCACACTATCCAAAGCAATCTTCACATTCAATGAAATTCTTGTGAAAACCCCAATGGCATTTTTTTCAGAAACAGAAAAAAAAAATCCTAAAATTTATATAGAATTTAAAGGGATCCCAAATAGCCAAAACAACATTGAAAAGGAACAAATTTGGAAGCCTCATGCCTCCTGATTTCAAAGCGTGCTACAAAGCAACAGTAATTAAGACAATGTGCTGTTGCTAGTATGAAGATAAATATATACACCAATGGAACAGAATGAAGAGCCCAGAAAGAAGCCCTTGGATATTGGCCAAATGATTTTTAATAAGGATGCCAAGACTACCCCAGAGCACAGGGCAATCTTCAACAAATGGTGTTGGGAAAATTGAACATCCATAGGCAAAAGAATGATGTTGGATATTTTCCTTATACCATATACAAAAATTAACTCAAAATATATTAAAGCCCTAAACATAAGGCATAAAACTATAAAACTACTAAAAAAAACAGGTGGAAATTTTGAAGGCATTGAATTTGGTAATGATTTCTTGGCTAGGACATCAAAAGCACAAGCAACAAAAGCAAAATAATCAAATGGGACTACATCAAACTGAAAACTGTGAAACAAAAGAAACCATCAACAGAGAGAAAAGGCAACCTACAAAACGGGAAAAATATTTCCAAGTCATATATTTGATAAGGAGTTAATATGCAAAATAGGTAATAAAGTTCTACAACACAACAACAAAAATACAAATAATTAAAAAATGGACAAAGGACTTGAATAGACAACTCTCCAAAGAAGATATGCAAATGGCCAACAAGCATATGAAAAGATGCTCAACAACACTAATCATAAGAGAAAGGCACATCAAAACCATGAGGAGATATCACTTCACATCCATTAAAATGGCCACTATCAAAAGAAAAAATAACAAGTGTTTGGTGAGGATGCAGAGGATTTGGAACCTTTGTGCATGTTTGGTAATGTAAAATGGTGCAGCTGTTATGGAAAATAGCATGTACCATACTCAAGAAAATTACAAATAGAATTACCATATGATCCAGCAGTCTCACTTTTGAGTATACCTAGTATAATCCAAAAATAATTCAAAGAGGGGGCAAAACAAGCCTAAATCTCAAAAAACAAAAAATTCAAAGCAGGATCTCAAAGAAATATATGCACACTCATGTTCATTGCAGCATTATTCACAATACCTACAAGGTAGAAGCAACCCAAGTGCCCATCAACAGAAGACTCATCTGTTTAATGCATAAAGAAAATATGGTATATACATACAATAAAATATTATGCAGCCTTAAAAAAAAGGAAGTCTCAACATGGATGAACTTTGAAACATAACTCTAGGCAAAATAAGCCAGTCACAAAAAGACAAATATTGCATGATTCTACTCATATGAAGTATCTAAAGTAGTCAAAATCATAGAAACAGGAAGTAGGAATGTATTATAATTGCCATGGGCTGTACAGAGAGGGTAGGAGAGATTAGTGTTTAACAGTATAGAGTTTCAGTTGTACAAAATGAAAAGGTTTTAGAGATCTGTTAAACAACAATGTAAATATACCTAACATAATTAAACTATACAGTTAAAAATGGTTAGGTTGGTAAATTTAATGTTATTTATTTTTTACCACAATAAAAAAAAGAAATTTCTAAAAAATATGTTATAAGAAGAAGTTTATTGATCCTAGAAGGGAAATTGGAGTCCAAGAAGGTACAGTAAGCAAAGAAACTCATAAACATGTGAACAAATCTAAACAAATACAAAACATTATATAATAATGGATAATGACAAATTTTGGAATATATAACATAATAACAGAAGAAAGATATTGAATAATAATTTAAGGTAAAAACAGAACTTTTGGAATTAAAATATTCTAAGATTTGTGCTCGAAAGTATAAAGCTATTTATTAATTTTTTTAAATTTTATATATAAAATTAGAGATGAGGTCTCACTATGTTGCCCAGGCTGATTTTGAACTCCTGGCCTCAAGCAGTCCTCCCGCCTTCACTTCCCAAGAAGCTGGGATTACAGGCACAAGCCACCGCATTTAACTGATTAAATTTAAACTCTAAATGAAGTATATTCATTAAAATATTATGGGTAGCCAGTAAAATAATAGATATAAAATATGATTTCCAAAATAGTAAAAGTGTATATATAAATTTATACACACATATTTGTGAGTTCAAAAAGATATCAAGAAAGAAGGGAAGGGAGCAAACAGAAAGCCCCAAAATAATATAGTGGAGATGATGCTAAATATATTAGTAAATGGACTAAACTTTCCAGTTTAAAAGACAATTTTTCAGTTAGGATTCTTTTTAATTTTATTTTGAAAAAGGATACAAAACAAAGCACTAAAAATAAAAGATAGAAAAATGTATCCCAAAAAAATATATCTCAAAATATGGCTCATATAGACATGTTGATATGCATCAAAAATATATAATATCTAAAGCATAAAATGTTACACACATTGGGAAAGATTTAATTCACCATAAATGTATGACTATTTTAATGATTAATGCACAAAATTATCACCTCAGAATATACTAACCAAAAATGACAGAAATACAAGATAAAGTATTCAAATCAACCATTATGGCAGGAGATTTTTAACACATCTTTCCCAGTAATTGATAAATCAAAGAGAAAAAAATCTTGGGAAGGCTAAAGCATAGCAGTTGTGTGTCTTTCCAGAGAGCTCTGACCATCTCAGATGCTAGCCCTGATCTAATGGACTTATTCCTTCCCCAGCTTTGGGCAGACTGTCCTTTGGCTGAGGAATACTATTAATAGAACTCTGGAGCAGGAAAACATCAGCAAGGGGCTAAAACTATGAATGGAATTTAGTAATAATATCCATTATCCTACTACTACTGCCACCACTGGATGAGTTACTCGTGTGTTCCAAATGCTCTTACAGATACTTTACAAAGCTGAAAGAAGATAACTTGCCCAAAGTAACATAGCTCTTAAGTGACTGAGCCAGGACTTGAAACAGTAACTACAAAACTACAAAACACTCTGCCATGGGATTTTCAATCTAGTAGCCTTTGCCAGCTATATCATAGTGGTTATTATCCATTAAAACTAAGGTCTCTTCTTAATATTAAGAATATTAAGCAACATTATTTGACTACAGTGATTATTATTGCTTAATAACAATCGTGAAGTGTTACCTTCTTTCATGCCTTTGCAAGTCCTTCGCCCCAGTGAGTCCACACCTGAAAAACCTCAACCCTATGGAAGTGTGTAAAACATGTCTCCTCACCTCATTTTCTTCAGCCTTTATTCTTGAGCTCTCAGTGTCTTCTTCAGAGCAAAACACCTAGGAAGGACAGAAAATATTTCTCAGAGCGAGAAAACCTCACACAGAATCAGTCAGGGCAAAGTGGATGCTTGTTAAAGAAACCTCTGGACACTTCTCTCCTCTCAAAATCATGGAAAGGTCTGGGTTTCCCATGGATGTCTTTTGAGGAGCCTGTATTGGTTTAGCCATTTGTGTTTTCCTCTTTGATGTGTCATTTAAACACATCAAAGGATTATTATAAGGATGATGTCATTTTTTCCAGTGACTGTTGTTTTTCATCCTTTGCCTAATTATGAGTGTAATGGCTTTAGACGAAGTCACCCAACCAGTCCCCACCAAAAGCAATTTCAACCATCCAGGGGCTGGGGGCATGATAGTATTTGGATAGGGAAGAGGGCTCCCCTGACAGACCTGAAATTGCTCCATGCCTTGATAGTTTTTGTTTCCTGGCCCACAGGTCAAGACAAGCATGATTTCAAGGTATTTGCCAGAAGGCCAATCCCTCAAAATGAGTCTGAGTAGATAAAGCAAAGGAAGCCCCTCCCCCACCTTCTGTAATTGGGAGGCGGTGGCTCCTCGGGTACCAAGGAGGAGCATGCCAATGACAGTTGAGATGCCCATCGGGGAAAAGAAGACATTGCTGTCATCTCTTTTCTTCAGCTCTTTGAAAAGATCAAACCCAAAATGAATGCTGGCTGCACCAAGTGAATCCATGACAGTTTTAGCGAGATCTAGAACAGCAACAACAATCAAAAGTGAGCATTTGAATTGCTTTGTATCACAGGAACACTTCCAGCTTCTATTCCTCTTCTTGCATTGTTCCAGAAAATACAGATTTTCACTCTCAGTGAAAGGTCACTGCTGCCTGCTTCTCACCCCTTCTCTTGGCCTCCTGTTGACAGGGGACATCAATCAGCTGAAGTCTGGCCTCACCCCGTCATGCTCGGTTCTCATTTCCCCAGGGAGCAAGGTTGACGCCTAAATGGCTTTGTTCTCACTTGTTCTCTGCCCAAACCTGCCTGCCTCTGCCTGCCCGCAGCCTCCCACCTGTGCTAAGCTTCTCTGGGTGCCAGACCCAGCCCTTGTCTAGCTGCCGGGCCTGGGATAAGGCAGGGACAAGGCATGGGGATCTCAGGGGCCCCAAGTGCAGGCAGTGCTCTTCCGTCCAGCCTAACAATAATAAACCAATAGTTGTATCCTTATCTGATACTTTCTATTTCTCAATTGACTTAAAATCCAGTCCAGAGAGCAGCAGGATTGGTCAGTTCTCTGAAACCTCAATCCCTAGTTGCATGAAAACTTGACTCTGAGCAGAATTTTCCCTAGGGGGCAACGGCCTATCTATCCCTGTTCAAGGTGAGAGTAAAAGCATTTTCTTTTTTATACTTTTCTGTATTGTTTTAGGCTTGTCCATGAACTTATCTTACTTTTGTTATCTCACAAAAAAAAAAAATTTTAAAGAGCAATTAACATTTACCAAAAATAAACAGGTAGAATAGGTTTTATATTTTCTTCATGATCAGCTACTTTATAACTGGTGAATAAAGACTCTAAGAAGAATCCTAAAAATAAATAAATAAATAAGATTAATGCAGAATAAAGTTTTGAAAGCCCACATACTTTCAGAGCTTTTGTTCTCAAGGGCTCATCCCTGCCAGGGAACCCTGCATCTGATGTTAAAGCTTCAGTTTCAACCTCAGGTTTCCATGCAGGTTGACACAGAAATAAAATGAATGAACTTATTGTCAAGCAAGATGAAGAAGATAAATTGTCATAGCAGTGCAGGCACTAAATTAAATAAAACCACCCCAAGGAAAGTCTGTGCACAATAAAAGTACTTCTTTCAAATCAACAAACATCAGTGTTTTTATCTACAGAAGTCTTAAATTGGAACCAAAAGAAGAACTTACCAGACTTATGAAGAAACAGAGGTGGCTGGGCAAGGAAGACGGAAGCATATGTAAATTGAGTAGCCGAGATCCTTAATTTATAGCTCGCTCTCTTTGCCTCAGCACTGGTTTTCCATCTTGCATGCTCATTAAATTCCCCTGGGGAACTTTAAAAATATATATCTATGCCCAAGCCCCACCCCCAACCAACTGAGTCAGCATCTCTGGGGTGGAAACCAGGAAACAGAGTTTTTATCACCTCAGGTGATTTCCACGTGCACCAAGGTTGGGAACCACTGGGATACAGGCTGGTGAAGACATAAATCAAATGTACACTTGCCGTACCACAGATGGACAGAGGTGTATCATGACAAGCCATTCTCTGTAATAGAGTTATCTCCACAGTTGCATTATTTTGGTGTGCCAAATGCAAAGAAGAACATGAAAGAAAAGTACCTTGCTAGAAAAGAATAAGAAAAAGGAGTGAGAAGTGTTTGCTCTGGAGCAGATACACATATACATGCATACACACACACACACACACACACACACGCTTGTTCTCAAGTATCCTGTACACTAATTACGAAATCTCTCATTTTAACTTATTCAATAAACAATTATTGAGTCTACTATGTAGTAGACATGTGCTAGACTCCAATAATTCATAAACACCCAACACTCTCACTGATTTCAGGAAAATAACACTACCAAAAGAGAAGAAACAGAACTCAGTAGGAAATTACGCCTCCAGATTCCAGTTTTTCCTGCTAATCCTGGAGCATGTCTGCTGGCTCTACCAGTTCATTAAAAGAAACAGCCCTGGAATTATTCTCGGCTTTGATCTTCAGTACAGAATGTGAAGATTCACCATCATCACTAGGCTGCAGCTCCTGGAAGGGCACATTAGCTCTGTCCTGTGCTGGGATGCCCGTTCTCAGACCAGCGACTCTCAGCTAAAGAAAATCCCCTTCAGAGACACAGACTCAAAGGACATGGGTCATGTATGTGCCAGTCTCAATACTCAAAATTTTCTTTTCTCAAAAAAAAATTTTTTTTATTAACAATCTTTAAGCAACCTCAAAGCAGTATTTAATTGATTTTGCCTTTTAATAGTCACCGAGAAACATGCAAAGGGAGTAAAATTTAGAAAGAATGAACAGTTATGGAGTTAACCTTAGATGCCAGTGAAATGGAAATGTTAGCTTTTTAAATGGCATAAAATCTTTGATCTGGAAATAAGGCTCTTTTTTAAATATCCCTATCAGTTTATGTCTTCTACTTTCTTTCTCTGTGGCCCCTGGACTTCCTGTTCTATTGCCCAGCCATTTCCATAGGCCCTCTGCTTTGTCCTAAAGCTGTTTCTGTACCATCCTGCTTTTCCAGGGAAACTCACCTTTCCCCTGAGGACAACTACCTCCTGCAAAGTCTTCTCTGAGAACAACCACTCACATCTTGGGGTAAGGAGAAAAGCTCACAACTCCTATTTTCCCTCCTACTCTCACTTATTCCAAGCCTTTCTTCCTTCAGTCACTCTCGACATTCCCCTTTGAAGTCTTGCACTGTCAAGCTGGCCTGCCCTTGCCCCAACCACAGGCCCCTCAGGTGCTCTGCTCAGGGCCTTCTGTCCACCCCAGCTGCTCCCACCACTCTGTACACCCTCCCCGTTCTTGCCCATGGTGCCTCCCACTTCCCTGACCTTCCCCTTCCCTACCCTGCGGTAGCCCACTCACATGGTCATGCATTGGCTGCTGTCATCACCAGAAATTGCTTCTGTTGTAAAATATGAACACCAAAATACCTCCATCTGGTGACAGATTCTCATCCGTATTCTCTCTAATCCTAATTTTCAGTGTTTTCACAACCTCCAATCATTGGACCCCTCCCTATTCTTCTATTTGTATCAGTCTCTTCTTTCTAGTATCAAAACTGACCCAGAGGTAGAAAATATGTTGATGATCAAGCATCATAAAAGTGGTTCCTATGCTTACAAGAGAGAAGAGGAACAGTTAAGCCCTGAAGCAGAGCACTGAAGGGTTCCTCACTCTGTTCCATAACTCTCAGTTTTGGTAAAACCTTTGCATGTCTATTACTGACACAGACTTGTAACATTTTTCTTCTCTGAACCTATGATGTAGTGAATGCTGCTGGTGTCCCAGCCAGATTCCCTTTACCAGCCAGTACATCTGTCATCCGGTTGCTGTTTTGGCTTGCAATTCAGAGATGCCCTTTTCTCGGGCAGATGATTCTCAGCTAAACAGGAGCCACCGGCCTGGGAAGATACGCAGCCCTCCACCCGCCAGCCAGGGCACACCTCAGACATGACTCACTGGCATAAGGGTTTAAAGATAGCCCTCTCACATCAGGTAAAACAACTTTGTAGGGCACTTTCTTCTCCAGTCCTTACCCATGGGATCAGACTGAAGCTGATCTCTAGAAACCACGTGATTGATCAAAACTTTTCCCTCACTCTGTCCTGCATCTCTCAGAGAAGGCCCTGATCCTCACCCCCACCAACACCCCCCACACAAGTTACCTGAACAAAAATCTCTATCTTTGGCTCTGCTTCTAGGGTACCTGACCTAAGACGAAAGTGTTTTAATACCAAGCCCAAGCCCCTTGCTGTTTTCGCTTTCCAAACATTTCTTTACAATTCTTGCATACTTTAGATAATATTTAGATAATATTTTTAATCAGTTTATAAAGACCTATGAAAAATTCTCTTGGGATTTAGACTGGGAATCTTTAGAATTAATAAATTAGGTGTGAAAAAGTATCACCTTTGTATATTGAGGAAAAAGCATGCTCATCTTACATGCCCATCAACAGAGTTTATAGATAGAAAGAGCTAGAGGGAGAGGGGGAGAGGGAGAACCAGTTCCTTCTTTGTGATCAAAAACAAGAGAAGTATGCTTGCTATCACTGCTTCCATTCAAAATTGAACCAGAGACTCTGGCATGTACAATAAGGCAATTATTTAATTGATTAATTAATTATTTAAAAGGTAAAGATGATTTGAAAGGAAAAATAAAATTATCATTAACAAAGAAACTGAGATATATGTTATAAAATTTAGAAAGTAAATTCCACAAGATGCTGAATGCAAGGTCAATTATAAAGAGCCAGGTATTTTTAATATACAGTTAGAAACTTTTAAAATATATGATTTAGAAGAACATGAAAAGCTAAGCAAAGTAATGTATATGTTAATTATCTAGATTTAGTCATTACACAATGTTCTTAATCTTCAAAACATTATGTTGTACATGGTAAATACATACAATTTTATCTGTCAATTAAAAAATAAAATAATAAAAACATCACATACCTAGTAAATATAAGAGATGTGTAAGCTTATATATAGAAAAAGATTAAACATAATTTAGAGAAATTAAGAAGACTAGGTAAGTGGAGGGATATATTTTATATCATATGATTTATGATTTGGAAGGGTCAATATTTTAACGATGTCAATTTTCTCAAAATTGATCACTGCAATCTCAATCAAAATCTCAGGAAGTTCATTTTTCAAAAAACTGGCCATCTGATTCTAAATTCTTATGAAATAGCAGAGGGCCAAGAATATCCAAAACACTTTTGATGGAGAAGGAGGAGGTGAGAGCTGCTCTATCTATAACAAGATTTATTAAATAATTGTCAGTGTGGTTTTGGCAAAGGATAGGCCAGACCAGAGGCCCAGAAAAGTTATAATGCATATGTTCACACTTTATTTTTTTTAAACTGTTGTTTCAGAGTGGTGGGGAAAGAGTGGTCTCTTTAATAAATTACACCGAGTTTGTTGAATACTTACAAGGAGCAAAAAAGGAATCTTGACTCCTATCTAACACTGTATACAAATTACCATCATAAATGGATTGCACAGCTAAATGGAGCACACAAAAGCATGTACAATAATAGTAAAGATTAACAAAGTGTACTATGTGAACTTTAAAAGCTTTCATTAATCAAAAGACACTATCAAAGTTGAACATGCATATACCCCATGACCTAGCAATTCCATCTCAGGTATACACCCAGCACAAATGTGTGCCCATGGGCACCAAGATACATGTAAAAGAATGTTTATAGCATGCTATTATTTATAATAGCCAAATACTGAAAACCTAAATGTGCATGAACAGTGGAATGTGTAAATAAATGATATGTTCACACAATCAAATGCTACACAGTAATAACAATGAACAAACTAAAGCTATAGACAACAAAATAAATGAATTTCACAAATACTATTGAAAAAAGAAGCCAAATGAAAAAAGAATACATACTGTATGATTCTATTTATATAAAGTTCAAAAGCAGGCAAAACTTAACTATAGTGCTGCAAATCAGCATACTGGTTATATTTTGAATAAGGTGAAAAGGTAATAATTGGAAAGGGACACAAGTGGGGTGTTTTAGAGTGATGATAACATTCCATTTCTTTACCTGGGTGGTAGCTGCATGGGTGTTTATTGTGATAATACATCCAGCTATATGTTTATATTTTAATATTTCCATATTTGTGTTATTCATTACAAAAAAATTCTTATTCAATTTATTCATAGATGTTTTATAGTTTTGATGTTGTTATGAATAAGGTCTTTGGCTTTTCCATTTATTCATTTAAGCATCTACTCTGTGTCATATACTGCTTTAGCTGCTGTGGTACAGCAACGAATACAGTGTAAAGGGTCCTCTCCTTTAAATTCACATTATATTGAGGAGATGCATACAATAAATAAGATAGTCTCAAATAGAATTTGGTGTTATGAATTAAATAAAGCATTAAAGTGTATAAGAAAACTTTTTTTTTTGGATGTCTAGCAAACCATCTTGAAGAACATTCTTTTCTGGTAAATTGTCAGCCTATTCACTGGATTTTCTAGAAACATGATCATAAAATATCTGTTTAATGGCTTGGTCTCTCTTTATCAATATTTATTGCTCTGATAAAATCATTTCTCAGTACAATGAAAGAGACCTAATTTCAAATTTCTGTGCACATAGACCAACAAGCAAAGCAGCAAGGCACCTTAACTATACCAACAGAAGAGGGCACTCTTTAACCAAGAAACCAGAGTATGGCACCCATTCACCTTCATAAAGTTGCTTATCATTTTTAGTCCA